ATCACCACCACACACACCATCACCACCACCACACACACCATCACCACCACCATTACACATACCACCACTACCACCAAACATACACCACCACCACTACACACACACACACCACTACACATACCACCACCACATATACATCACCACCACTACATACACACACCACTACACACACCACCACCACTACCACCACCACCATCACCACCACACCACTACACATACCACCACCACAACCACCACCACCACCACCACACCACACCACTACACATACTACCACCACCACCACCACACCACACCACTACACATACCACCACCACCACGCACCACTACTGTTACCACACACCACCACCACCACTACACACACCATTTTGCACATGCGTATACACAAATTTAATTAAGATGTAATTTTCTATAAACTGAGCTTGCCCTTGTTCTGCACTTATCCGAGATAAGTCACTGCTGTGGTTAGCTGCCATCACCCAGGCTTGTCCCTGTGCTCTTTCAAAATCTCTAACCTGCATGTGTTTATATTACCACCTTTGGCTCCTGGACATATGGGCAAAAGAAGAGCTCAGTGTGGGCCCTTTACAGATGTGGCCTGTGCCCTTCTCTGGCCCAGTGACAGCTGATCTCTGGCTTCTTAGGTTTTTCTGCAGCTTCCTTCATGGGCTGGCACCTTGTGGGAGGAGGCTCATGGCTACCACAGCAGCAAATGAATCTGAGACAGGTTTGGAATATGGCTTAGTTAACACAGAGTGACTCTCCTTTGTACTGCCAGGGACCTGATCCTAGTATTTAAGCAGCTTGTACAAAGCTGGGCCAGAATAATGTTTCCCCAGGGCAAGGCTATGGTCCCTCCCCTTGACATCCCTAGTAGCTTGCATACTGCCACACACACACACACACACACACACACACACACACACACACAATCATTAAAAATGTGTGGATAGGTGAGTGGGTGGGTGAATAAGCAGCCGTGAGCAGGGGAATAAATGAGTTCCCTGAGAGCATAGTTTGGACATGAATAAATGCCCCCTGGATAAATGTATGATTGCCATCATGTTCACACTCTGAGGTGTGTGGACAACATTGCAGTCAAGAGCTAAAAGTGGAGTCAGGCTGCCGCTGACCACACTTAGGAGTTGAGGCAAGTTACTTCCAGCCTCCGTGACTCATCTTCTCTTGACTTAAATGTAAGGGTAACGTCCTCAGGGGTTGGGGAGACCAGATGAGTTACAGCAGAGAAAGGGTATAAGACGGTGTTTGTACATGGCGCCATGAGAAGGTTTCTGGCCATTCCGTTTATATTGTTTCTAACACCCACGACTGGTTATTAGTCAAGAAACCAAAGCTACAGAGACAGCTCCGTGGGGAAGAGCACCTTTTGTGCCAGCGTGAAGACTTGAGTTGGGGTCCCAGCACCCAGCTGTGCCTATGTGTACCCGTACCCCCAGGGCTGGGCAGGGGGGCAAGACAGAGAGAAAAGGGTCATCGGGGCTTGCTGGCCATCTGTCCAGCTCCAGGGTCAGTGAAGAGACCCTGTCTCAAAGGAATATACAACGGAGAGTGATAGACCAGGATCCTGATGTCATGTTGGCCTCCATGTACTCACACTAGTGTGAACACACACACACACACACACACACACACACACACACACACACACACATGCCACATAAGACTTGGGAACTCCAAACGGGCACGGTTGCACACACCTTTAATCCCAGCATTTGGGAGGCAGAAGTAGATGAGTCTCTGTGAGGCCAGCCCTGTCTGCCTAAGAAGTTTCAGGCTACCTAAGGCTACACAGTGAGATCCTGTCACAAAAAAATAAAATGATAATAAAAACTAGGAACTCTGAACTGGGGAGGTAGCTCAGTGGTGGAGGGCCTGCCTCCCATGTGCGAGGCCTGAGTTTCAATCCCAGTACCACAGTGATGACGATGAGAAGGAAGAGGAGAAGGAACTAAGAAGTGGTTGGTTTGGGCCTTTTATGTGCTGAACACTATACCAAATACTGTAAGGAATAGAGGGAAAAGTTAGTAGAATTCCCACCCCAAAGGTGACACTGAGACACTGGGAGGCATCGCTCAGCCCCTCCCACTGAACAGACCTGCCTGTGTTCCAGATCCTTCGAGAGATATCAGCATTTGACGTCGTCTATACGGCCATCACCCTCTCACATTCCGGGCGCATGATGTTTGTGGGCACTTCAGTGGGAACGATCCGTGCCATGAAGTACCCCCTGCCTTTGCAGAAAGAATTCAATGAGTATCAGGCTCATGCTGGTCCCATCACCAAGGTGAGAGGTGCCTCCCCACCAAGTCCCAGCCCAGGCTCTGCCTCATAGACTTTCCTACCCTGTCAACTTCTCAGTGTTTCTCCTCTCTCTTTCCCTCTCTCCCTCTCTCCCTCTCTCCCTCTCTCCCTGTCTCCCTGTCTCCCTCTCTCCCTCTCTCCCTCTCTCTCTCTCTTCGTCTGTCACCCATTCACTGGGCACCCGTCAGATGGATATTAATAACCATGTTGAAACTACCAGGAATTTATCCTAGAAAGTAATGGGTCACACCTAAAGATCATTTGACACAAAATTACACCCAATAATGGACCCTTGGGTGGGTGCTGTAGGTCGCCATCATATTTCCCAGCTGCAGTGAGTTTTGCCTACTAATGACCCTCAGGTGCCCACTGCTCCCAGACAAAAGGGAGTCATACCCCCCAAGAGATTAGAAACAACTCTGAGAATATGAAGACTACCCCTAGGAACAATAACATAGGCATGCTTTGTAAATAGTCCTATTCCCTTTTCTTGTGAAGTAATATCTATGTTTAATAGCTAAATGGTTCAAATCATACTGGAGGAAAAGAAAAAGGTGCAAAAATAAGAAAGCAGCCTGTGTCCAGTGGCAAATGAGTGGCTAAGCAAATGTGTTCCACACATACAATGGAGTAATAGTCTTGAAAGGGAAGGGAACTCGGCACTATGCTACAACATGCATGCGTTTTTAGAAAACTGAACTACATAAAACATGCTAATTCCAAATAGGCAAATACAGCATCACTCCACCCACTGTGGGAACAGGACTCTTTGGCCCCTCCAGGGTGTTTTCAGTTTTTCTGGACTATGGTCTTTATGACACATGGTTGTTGGACCCCAACCTAGAGCTAGAGAAGACAGTGATCCGGCATCTACAGGATGTCCACTGCTGCGTGAAGACTTTTCCATTTTGGATTTAGTCCTAGGGCATTGGTTCTGCTGGCCATAGCTTTTGTCAGTTCTGAGGCCTTTGGGTTCTTTCCACAGTGCACTATTGCTCACTGACAAGGGGTTTGAGTGTGTGGAATGGTGAATTGGGGTTATGTCCATCTGTGACTCACCCAAACTGACCAATAAAACCTTGATTCATACTTTTAAAAAGAAAATATCAAAAGTGATAGAAAGTAGAATGGTGGTTGTCATTCTATACCCTCGGGGGTGGGACCAAAAAGGGGAATTACTGTTTAATTTGTGCGGTCTTAGGTTTTTTTGGTTTTTGTTTGTTTATTTTATTTTGTTTTCAAGACAGGGTTTCTCTGTGTGGCCCTGGCTGTCCTGGAAGTCATTCTGTTGACCAGGCTGACCTCAGACTCACAGAGATCCACCTGCCTCTGCCTCCCAAGTGCTGGGAGTAAAGGTGTGAGCCATCAACGCCCAGCTGCAGACCATAGTTTTAGTTTTAAATAACAAAAAATTATGGTTAGATGGTGGTGATAACTCCACAGCTTCACAAATGTGTCATCATAAACTATACACCAAAAAATGGTCAGGGTGCTAAATTTTATAGTGTATACATTTTGCCATAACAAAAAGTGAATGAAAAAGAGTTCTCTAGATGCCAATAAATCAGAGCTAATAGAAAAGTAAAAGTTACTCACAGCGGAGGGGGTGTGTGTGATTACACAGGTCCCTGAAAACCAGGTCCTGAGAAAATGTATGCCTCCTTTATCTGAAACTGGATGACATGAAAGATTTTTAATTATGTCCTGAATTTGATATTGATTCAGTGTCTTACTTTTCTGTTGCTGTGATAAAATCCCATGACCAAGGCAACTTCTAAACAAAAGTATTTAATGTGATTTACGGTTTTAAAGGGTTGGAGTCGGTGATGGCAGCGTGAAGGAGCAACCAAGACTCACGCCGTGATCCAAAACCGTGAGGCAGAGAATAGTGATGAGAAATGCATGAGCCTTTTGAAACCTCAAAACCTGCTCCCAGTAACACACCTCCTCCACAAAAATCACACCTCCTCATCCTTCCCAAATAGGTCCACCAACTAAGACCATTCTCATTCAATCTGGCACACTTACCTGTAGATACTGTACACATGAGAAAAGGATTTTTCATTATAAAATGACACATGTCTGTACTGAGCCCAGGAATTGTGTCCAAAGTGAAGTGTGATGATATAGTCCATCTTCCCTTCAGATCTACTGAATTTTGTGGTAAAATCATTTTTATTGTAGAAGCAATATATGTTTATGTTAGAAGTCGGGCCTTTATAGTAGCATCATCGTTCATATTCTGACACCATCTCCCCTCGTGTATATTATACATGTGTCTGGAATAAAGATCATACTATATGGTCACTCTTTCACAACCTGCCTCTTAAAACTTCAACATTATTGTAAGAATTTTTCTATATGATTGAATGTTCCTCAAAAGCAATGCTTTTTCGAGGCTGGAGAGATGGCTCAGTGGTAAAGAGTATGTGGTGCTCTTATAGAGTCCAGGTGAACATTGACATTGCTCCCCTCTTGTAGACCTTTGGCCTTCCTTACTTTATGGCTGTGCCTGAAAGAGGCTAGCCCTTGGTCTTAAGGAGTAAACAAACACAGCAGAAAATTGGGAGTTAAAAAAAAGGAAATCAGTCTTCTCCAGGGGAGTCAAGAAGCCAGCTCAGCTTTCAAAGACTCTTGTAAGCAGCCACAGTACCAGAAACCCAAAGCCCAGGAAAATAAGATCATTAAAATCAAATTCACAGGGGTAGGAGAACGATTGCTCTGTCCCCAAACTCAATTAGGGACTACCTCAGATAAGGGACAAATTACAGGTGGGACAGACAAAAGCGACCTCTAGTCACAATGACAGATCCATGGTTGCCCATGGTTACCTCTAGCAGAGTGAGAACCATACTGAAGCAGAGACTGAAAATGATAATGAGACATGTGTGACATCCAGAGGCACGATGAAGAAGAGCACAGGCTCAACTAAATCCCCTCCCCCTCTACACGCAGTGGCCCCAAGAAACCATCCCTGACTACATATGATAGATGCCATAAGAGCTTCACATTTTGAGTCTTTGCCTTTGAGTGAGCTGGGGATTTTCTCTCCCCAGACACTGACTCCTTCATATTCCCTCATCAATGAAGAAATCTGTTCATGCACCAAGGTGCTTCTGTCTAATTCTCCTGGTAAAGAGGATGCATGCCCAGGGAAGTGTGTGGGGCTGCATGGACCAAAGCCTGTGCAGTGGCCAGCTCCCTCCGGGGCCTCCACAACCCCAGAAAACTTCTCCGTGCTCTTTTCCTCCACAGATGCTGCTCACCTTTGATGACCAGTTCCTGTTGACTGTTGCTGAGGATGGCTGCCTGTTCACCTGGAGGGTCTTTGATAAGGAAGGCCGGGGAATCAAGAGAGAGAGGGAGGTGGGCTTTGCCGAAGAGGTGCTGGTGACTAAGACAGACATGGAGGAGAAGGTAAGAACCAGGTCTCATTGGGGGTGGGGAGGACAAAGAATTCCTTAGCAGACGACATGCAGAGGGCTCAGGCCAGCATCTGACGTCCTCTGCAGGACTGGCTCCGCCCATGTCTGGTGCAGACAGTCACAGCTCCATCCGTGCTGGCAAGCCAACCTGTTTGCACCGACCCTCACACTTCCTGTCCTTCTCCACCGTGATCACCCTGACTTATACTGTGTTCAAGGCCCGTGACCCCGCTTTCTTCCAGCTGCGGTGTAAGAATGGGAACCGTGACGAGGGACGGTTATTAAAGATAACCAGTACACATTCATAAGATGAAACTACCACATGCCCAAGTTGGAGCTTGTGGTGATATCGTGTTTGTGCTCAAACAAATGAAGCTTGCCTGGAAGATCAGAGTGCGGAGCTAGCCCCTAGAGACCAGACAGACAGTGGTGGCACACACCTTTAATCCCAGCACTTGGGAGGAGGAAGAGGAAGTGATAGGGCTGGGTGGAAAGAGAAAGGGATAAGGTGGGGTGGAGACAGGAGCTCGGCCCTTTCAGTCTGAGGACTCCTAGAGGCAAGAAGTCTTTCTAGTGGCTGGCTGCTCTGCTTCTCTGATCTTTCAGCTTTCACCCTGATATCTGACTCGGGGTTTTTTTTATTATTAAGACCAATTAGGATTCGTGCTACAGGAGCTGTGAACTGTAATGATTTCCAGTGCATTGAACCTTCATTTTAAAACACGTGACCTGGGAGAAGATGGCTCAGTCAGGCAAGCTAAAGACCTGGGGTTGGATCCCTAGCACAGAGCTGGGCACAGAGGCCTGTGTATATAACCCCAGAGCTAGGGGTGGAAGAGACCAGAGGACCCAAAGCTCATTGGCAAGACAACCTGACTGAACTGATGAGCCCCAGGTCCAACGAGAGACTTTGTCTCAGAACACAAAACTCAAGAGCAACTGATGAAGACACCCAGTGTCAGCCTCTGGACTACACACACACACACACACACACACACACACCATGAGCATGCATGAACACCCACATTCATAAGTGTATGCACACAAATAGGCACAGTAGCTCACATCTGTAATCCAATCACAAAGGAAGCTAAGACAGGAAGATTATGAGCTTGAGGACAGCCTGGGCTACATAGGAAGGAAGGAAGGGAGGGAGGGAGAGAGGGAAGGAAGGAAGGATGGATGGATGGATGGATGGATGGAAGGAAGGAAGGAAGGAGCATTTGCCATGGAGCAGGTACCATACTGGTGGCATATCTCTCATAGAAACCTCTGAGGGCTGGAGAGATGACTCAGAGGTTAAGAGCACTAACTGTTCTTCCAGAGGTCCTGAGTTCAATTCCCAGCAACCCCATGGTGGCTCACAACCATCTGTAATGAGATCTGGCGCCCTCTTCTGGCCTGCAGTCATATATGCTGTATACATAATAAATAAATAAATC